ATATACAGTATATACTGTATATTTACATCATACATATATATATGATAAGCCTGAGTGGTCAGTTGACTGACCATTTGTTCAAATAATTGTTATGGGCAGGTTACAATATAAAAAATTGTCATAATCACGTCTTGTGGTTATTTGACAGGAGTTTTACTTCTAAAATGTAAGTGTATTTAATTTAGTTATAATGTAAATACAATAAAAATTAAACCAAGATTTAGAATAATTATCATTTTGATCCGTACATTGGTAATGTCTGACTGGGCTTCGTGCCACTTTATGTTCAATAAACTGGGCCCCGAGGTCAAAAAGGTTAAGAACCCCTCATCTAAAATACCTTCAGCCACATTCCAGACTCTCATTAGAAGCTATAGGAAGAGTTTAGAGGCTATTATTTCTGCGAAAGGAGGATCTACTAAATATTGAGGGGTTTTTTTGTGCACAAATTTATACACCTGCCTAATTTTGTTTAACCAATTATTGCACACTTTCTGTAAATCCTATAAACTTCATTTCACTTCTCAAATATCACTGTGTTTGTCCCCTATATGATATATTTTAACAGATTTTTTTATTCAAACAATCAATGATTTATAAAGATAAATCAGGAAAATTAACAAGGTTGCCCAAACTTTCATATCCCACTGTATATGTTGTACTACAAGCACTAACAAAAATTTAAAACGGCAAACAAAAAAATGTTAATCACTCCAAACTGGCTCAAGAAAATGTGGAAAATCCTAAAAAAAATACTAAAACTAATGCATGAGTGACATCTTTGAAACCAATGAGCAGATGGAAAACTAAATGCGAATGGGAAAAAAATGGCTCAGGGATAAAAAAAAAAAAAAAAAACTCAGACACACCCAGTCTTGAGGTTCAGTATGGCGTCTTCTACTCCTTTCTGGTTGTATTTGCCCATGTACTGGTGCATGTCCGGATAGTTGGAGCGGATATTTTTTTCTGTGCTCCCATTGGGCACTGTACCAAACTTCAGAGGTGGATACTGCTCTTCTGGATGCTGAAACTATCGCACCAAAAGAAGATGGGAGAGGGAAAGAAAAAGGGACATGAGACACACGGAGCTGTGCACCAATCTGTCTGACCTATTTCTGTCCACTGTCCAGACTAACTTACAGCACCGCATCCACACTTAAAAGCAAAAAAAAAAAAAAAAAAGACAGCGAGAGCAGTGTGTAGATTCAAAGGACCATTTGTGTCAATCTTTTATGTAACCAAGAATTGTGGTAATTGAGTTATGTTAAATGAAATTCTATTCATTTCTTAATTCCCATGCTTTAATCAATTTAACATTCAAATGCAAGGGATTTGGCTCACTCTAAGACATTAATTCTCCTTCATCTTTTCCTTCTTAATCAGTATTCAATAGATGAGGTACCTTTTTGTCCGAGAGGCCTGAAACTGTGTCAATGTACTCCTCCTGGATCATGAAGGCGGCCAGGTTAGCAGTGTAAGAGGCCAGGAAGATGACGGCGAAAAAAGCCCAGATCAGCACCATGATTTTGCTTGTGGTTCCTCTCGGGTTCTCTACTGGCACCGAGTTGTTGAAGACAATAGCCCATAAAAGCCAGACAGACTTTCCGATAGTGAATGTAGACCCTCCAGCCTCTGTTTGGCATGATAAAGTAAAAATTAAAACAGAAAATAAGGATAAATTGTAAGTGGGGTCACTGCAGAACATGTGGGAGTTCTTTGTCTGTGTGGGCGGAGTTTGTCCTAACTGATTGGTGTTTGGAATATAGGTGGAGGTTCTTGGCAAAACCATGATTGGTCAGATTGACTTGTCTTGTGGGGCAAGTTAAAAGAAGAAGTAACGGTAATAGTAAAATTATTGTGAACATGAAAATATAATTTATTGACTTCAAATTTGGTGGGACTAGCACCGTCCTGTCTTGAGTTATGACTAAAAATAGTATTTATATTAAAAATATTTGTTTTCTGGACGTTTAACTGAGCTGCACGTCCCTCCAGCTGCCTGGCGTTCATCCAACCTGAATCATCATGGGTTCTTCAAACCCCACCTAAAATAGTCAATCTGACCAATCACGTCTTTAAATAACCACACCCACAAAAGTTAAACAAACCAATGTCTTGGACAAACTTCTCCCTCACAACAAGAAACTCCCACTTAATGACTGCAGAGACCCACTTTGAGCTGTTTTGTTTTCTAGAAAGAAGGGTTTAGGACAAGATATAATAAGAATGAAGAGGAAGTGACCAATTCAACTGAAACCTCCTTCAATAATCTCTAGAATACATGGTGGAAAATGAAAGCATTTTGTCATCAAACCTCATAAAGCAGTAACTATACATTTGAAAGATAGATGGTTTCATTCCAGCTACCACATGATCAAATGAAAAAACCATTGAGAGAGTTCAAATACCTCTGTATTTTCAGAATGATGGGGAGGAGAAAAGAAAAAGAAGAGATGGAAGTGAATGAGAGAGATACATGGGAGGATGACAGAGAGGTAAAATTATGTCGAGCGCAGCAATCATGCAGTAAAAGAGCCGAGTCCAGCAGGGTACTGGACCGAGGCATCAGGCGTATTGAATATCACAGGGGTACAAACTACACTGCTGAATAATAAATGGACTGCTTAAATATTGAAAATACTTGGACACAGTTCAATATACTGTATGTATAATTTGCTAAACTCATAGTGAAGTATTTGGGGCAGCCCGTTCAATATACCCTTCGGTTAATTATAAATGATTCCGAAGAGCAATCGGACAGCAATAAACAACAAAAAAGAAATTTCAGTCTAAATATTTTTATCAGTTATTTTCAGGAGGTGTTTGACAATTTGATTCATTAGGTATCAGTGATGGACTTTACACAGACCCATTTATCAGACAGGGGATCTGACAGCTTAGACTCATCACTCACTCTTGCCAGTTTGAAGGCTGCGGTTGTAGCCCACAGGGCTGAAGAATTCAAAAATGAAGACAGTCACGGCCACAACAGTCAGGCACATGACGAACATCATCACCCACACGGCTGGACTGTAGGGCTCTAGAAAGGAAAAAAAAA